GTAGAGATGGTGTTTTACCATGTTGGCCAGGATGGTCTTGATCTCTTGATCTCGTGATCCACCTGCCTCAGCCTCCCAAAGTGCTGGGATTACAGGCATGAGCCACCGCACCCGGCCTGTAAATTCATTTTTAACAACACTCTTTAGCATCATAAAGTGCCCTTTTAGTCTCTTCTAATGCATTTTTTTTGACACAAATTTGACACTTTATTTTATAATTTCCTGACTCCTTTTGTTGTTTTTAAACAACCAGAAAAATTTTGAGATTATTTTTTACAGTCTCTGAAACACTTCATATTATAGGTTTTAAAAATGTGTTTGGATTTTGCTTTTTAAAATTATTTTTTTATTTCTTCTTTTTATAAACGGAAATGAATATGATTCTTCCTGGTTAGATTATGTCAATCAAACAAGTTAATGTTCTATGGCTCAGAAACAATATACATACCTTTTAAAATTATTGTTCTTTAAGTTCTGGGATACATGTGCAGAGTGTGCAGGTTTGTTACATAGGTATACATGTGCCATGGTGGTTTCTGCACCCATTAACTTGTCATCTACATTAGATATTTCTCCTAATGCTGTCCCTCCCCTAGGGCCCCTACCCCCTGATAGGGCCCAGTGTATGATGTTCTCCTCCCTGTGTCCACATGTTCTCATTGTTCAACTCCCACTTACGAGTGAGAACATGCGGTTTTGGTTTTCTGTTCTTGTGTTAGCTTACCAAGAATGATGGTTTCCAGGTTCATCCACGTCCCTGCAAAAGACATGAACTCATCCCTTTTTATGGCTGCATAGTATTCCATGGTGTATATGTGCCACATTTTCTTTATCCAGTCTATCATTGATGGGAATTTGGGTTGGTTCCAAGTCTTTGCTGTTGTGAATAGTGCTGCAGTAAACATATATGTGCATGTGTCTTTACAGTAGAATGATTTATAATCTTTTGGGTGTACACCCAGTAATGGGATTGCTGGGTCAAATGGTATTTCTGGTTCTAGATCCTTCACGAATTGCCACACTGTCTTCCACAATGGTTGAACTAATTACAATCTCACCTACAGTGTAAAAGCATTCCTATTTCTCCACATCCTCTCCAGTATCTGTTGTTTCCTGACTTTTAATGAATCCCATTCTGACTGGCATGAGATGGTATCTCATTGTGGTTTTGATTTGCATTTCTCTAATGACCAGTGATGATGTGCTTTTTTTCATGTGTTTGTTGACTGCATAAATGTCTCCTTTTGAGAAGTGTCTATTCATATCTTTCACCTACTTTTTGATGGGGTTGTTTTTTTTGTTTTTTTTGTTTTTTTTTGTAAATTTAAGTTCTTTGTAGATTCTGGATATTAGCCCTTGGTCAGATGGATAGATTGCAAAAGTTTTGTCCCAGTCTTTAGGTTGCCGGTTCATGCTGATGATAGTTTCTTTTGCTGTGCAGAAACTCTTTAGTTTAATTAGATCCCATTTGTCTATTTTGGCTTTTGTTGCCATTGCTTTTGGTGTTTTAGTCATGAAGTCTTTGTCCATGCCTATGTCCTGAGTGGTATTGCCTAGGTTTTCTTCTAAGGTTTTTATGGTTTTAGGTCTTACACTTAAGTCTTTAATCCATCTTGAGTTAATTTGTGTTTAAGGTGTAAGGAAGTAGTCCAGTTTCAGTTTTCCGCTAGCCAGTTTTCCCAAAACCATTTATTAAATAGGGAATCCTTTCCACATTGCTTGTTTTTGTCATGTTTGTCAAAGATTAGATGGTTGCAGATGTGTGGTGTTATTTCTGAGGTCTCTGTTCTGTTCCATTGGTCTATATATCTGTTTTGCTACCAGTACCATGCTGTTTTTTCTTAAAGAGATGGGACTCATTATTTTTCCTTGGCTTGTCTGGAACTCCTTGCTTTAAGTGATCTGGCCTCTTGTGGAATTTTGCTTTTTGTTCACGCTGAAGCATCTCTCACATTTTAAATAATTTATTTGAAATCATAATTTTGGCCAAATATATTTTTGGTATGAATTTTTTCATACAGTTTTTTAAAATTATATTTTCTGTATTGGAATGTTTTTATAAAACAAGATATTTAAGATATACTTTTCTTTGAGGCTTAGAAAGAAGAGTGGCTGTTGGTTTAAGAGGAAGGCATTTATTTTTCTAGTGAATATTTACAGAATATATACTACGTGTTAATTATCCTACACTGAACAAACATAGAAGAATCCCTGTTCTATGGTGGAACTTCTTCTTTCTCAGAAGGAGTAAGGTTAGACAGCTGAATATGTAAACTACATAGTATCCTTGTGGATAAGATATGGTAAGGAACAAAAATAGAGTACAATAGAAGAAAATCATGGACACCCTAAATGGGCTAAGGATTTCCATTTTAAATCAGATGGTCATGGTAGACCACATTTAAAGGACATTTGAGAAAATCTTGAATGAGGCAAGAGGATTAGTGATATGAAAATAAGGGGAAGGGTAGTCTAGGCAGAGGGAATCCGGTGAGCCAGTTACTCTCCTGATACCTGTAAAGAGAGGATGAAAACTGGTAATTGGTGAAAATACAGATGGGATTTGGGGTAGAATGTGTTCATGCCTAGTTTTATCACAGAAATAGGAAACAGATTCATCATTTGAGGTTGAGTTGAAGATACTCGAAAATTGGTAAAACATATGAGAGTCATTGTGGGAAAGAAAATGGAAGTCAACTTAGGGATACGTAAGACTTGTGCTCAGCTGGGATTTGGGCTGGGAAGAGAATAATTTTCATTTTCAGAAGGATCATTCGGTGCCGTTGGGCAATTTTGTACAAAATGCTGTTTGGAGTCGATGTGACTGAGAAGGGGTGATATTTGTTCATTACACACTAGTAGTCTTTTGTAGGTTGTTTTATATTGCATACACTAGTGCACAGTTATTAGTTTTGCATATGAGGTAGCTTAGATTCAAGCAGGGTAAGCTAGCTGATGTTAAACATACTTTCAGGTTGATTTTAGGTGATGTTTTTATATAATAAGGTAAAAATGCTAGAGGACCATGCTGATGAAAGAAAGAATGAAAAAAGTAATTATCTATACAGACAGGTGTGCCAACAGGTGATGATCCAGGAGCAGTGAAAAGGCAAAAAGTTGAAGAAGATGATGAAGAGAAGAACAAGGAAAGTTGCTTCTTCATATGTAGATTTCAGTTGTTTTTATCACTAGGGTTTCAAGTTTTATCATGGTGAACAACAATATATACTTTATACAGTAAAATATTTAGAAACAGTTTTTTTGTATCATAGTATAAAAAAATCATAGTTGTTGTGAAATGAATTTATGTGTAATTCTTTTATACTCTTTTTTTAACTAAGGTACAGCATTAACATGAAAATCCAAGAATCTTATATTGGTGGATTTTTTAGACTCATGTCACACTTGCAGATGGAAATGCTTTTGAAAATATTTATATCAAATATTATCCCTGTGCTGCTTTCACGTGCATTGCTTATGTTGTAAATGCCATTATGGATATCTTGCAGTGGCCATAAAGTATTTGGAATGGTGTCTTTAAAGTAATGTCCAATATAAGTGATATGATTGGATAGAATTTAATATTGTGGGAGTTTAGTATTTTCTAGCCAGAGTGTAATACTCTAATCATTCACTCTTCTGTTGGAAGCAATTTTGAATGAGATCACAAATCAGATGTCATTTGGTGCACAGTATTAATGACTTACCCTCAAATTTTATATCATTATCAATAAATACACATACCATTTATGTGATACAATGCTGCTTCAGTTTTCACAGCTACATTTTTAATATCTTTTTCAATACGGTAGCATATCTCATAAAGATGCGTCAGCAAGTAAGATACAATGTAAGGTTGATAAATATGAATTATCTTAAATTTACTTGCAATGAAATTGAACCGCTGACCCAAGGTCTTAGGTTAAGAGAGGCAAGTAAATGTATTGTACAACACCATTTTTTATTTCTTTTGGGTTTGATTTTTTTCTCCATGATTTGTAATAAAATAAATTAATGGGTCAATTCTAATACTGATTAAATGAACTTGGCTCAGGCCTATAACAGGAAAGTCATAATAGCAGTCGGCTTCAGATCAAAAGCTTTAAAATACAAATGAAAGACTATTCAGGGAGAAGGGGAACTAGGCAGTGATACAGCAGGAGACTTCTTTAAATTCAAATGATTAAATGCAGGGAACAACTTTAGGATGATGCTACATGTTGATAAACATATGCACAAAGTAGGTACTATTAAATTATGGAAATACCTCACATGTAGACTGTTTTTCCATTTATTCAAATATGTGAATACCTACTACGTGACATACATTATTATCTGTTGTGGGTTGAACTCTGACCCCCACCCCCCAACCCCCAACCAAAAAAAAAAAGATATGTTGAAGTCTCAGCCCAGAATACCTATGAATGTGACTGTATTTGAAAATAGAATTTTTTACAGATCCAATTAAGTTAAAGTAAGGTGATTAGGATGAGCCCCTAATCCAACATGGTTGATGGTCTTCTAATAGGAAAATCTGGACATAGATACACACAGTGAGGAGGACAGCCATGTGAAAATAGAAACAGACAAGGGAGAATGTCTCGTGACAACAGAAGTAGAGCTTGCAGTGATGCAGCTGCAAGCCAAGGAATGCCAAGGATTGACAGCTACCATTAGTAGTCAGTGAACAAGTAACTGACTTGTGAACAAGTAACTGACTTGGAGGTAAACAAGTCCTCCCCTATGAGTTTCAGAAGAAGCTTGGCCCTGATGTGCTTTTTTGACTTTTATCCTCCAGAATTGTGAGAAGATAAATTTTTGTTGTTTTAAGCCACCTAGTTTGTAGTACTGTGTTATGGCATCAGTATATTAAGAATCTAATATAGCTATTATGTATTCTGATAAGCTCTGGTAAAAAGCTAAATGGTTTGATAAATTTATAAATTAGAATGATATAATATTGAGATATAATCATATGTTTATTTATTTCAGTCTTTAAAGCTAAGACACTTTGCTAACCACCAGTGAGAAACAAAGGACTCAGGCACAGTAAGTAGAATTAGGGAACTTAAAATATTAAGAAGGAAAATAAGACATACATAAAAATCCAATATGAATGAGACTTGTACTAGATTATGACAGTGATACAGATATGTCATATTAATTTCCAGAAAGGAAGAGACTCTCCTTGACTAGAAAGGATTCAGGGAAGAGACAGCACTCGGGCTTAACCTAGAAAGATGGTTTGTGTTTGAACATACAAAGTTGGAGAGAACAGCATGAAGAGACAACCATGTAGATATAACCACTGAGACAGAAAGCACATGTGAGGTGTTAGTCACCCAGGATCTTGAGTCTATTCTATTAGGCTGGTGTAAAAGCCATTGCAGTTTTTGCCAATACATTTAATAGCAAAAAATGCAATTGCTTTTGCACCAACCTAATATTTCTTTGGCAGTGGCAAGTGCACTGGGCTGGTTTTTGACATTGAAGCCATGTTTTCCATTCCTCACCCATGGATTCAGCCTCTGAGGCAGAAGGTTTTTCTATAAGCCATGTATATCCTGAGGGCAGAAATGATAAGAGAAAATAACTCCTTTTTTGTTTTTTGTTTTGTTTTGTTTTGTTTTTTCTTTGAAATCTTTGCTTTTGAAAGTCTGTAAACCTATGGTAGTGACAATGTTTTGATAAAACAGACTTTGAATTGTGAGAAACGTAGGCTTGAGAAAAAAGTTGTACTGATTTTAATTGCTAGAAGTTTACATGTAATATCAAGAGCTGAACCTTGTTGAAATTTGAGCCAGTAATTGATATCATAGAGTAGAAAATGAGGCTTAGACTGATTTGTGTATGGGAAGACAAACCACAAAGGAATGTGACTAGACTCGGGAAACAATAGTCTCTGAGAAGTGCCCTTTCTCCTGGTTTTTGGATCAAACCTCAAAGAGTGGAGATGATATAAACTTTGTTCGAGAAAAAATTATCCAAATACTTGTTAAGGATATTAAGGTAGACCTTTTTCAAAGGGGGGGGCATTACAATAGGTGTAAAACCCATTGCAGCAGGGTCGTGCAGCAGAGAGAGATTGGATTCAACTCTGACTCTAACAAGGACAGATGAGGATTTATAACCAAGGAACAAGGTTTAGGGTGGGGGAGTGGTCAGTGGATGGAAAATTACGAAGAGGAAACATCGAGGATAAGGAGGTTTCTGACTAAACAGACTTAGTAGGATTATTGCTGAAGGCAGGTCAGGGAGATAAGATACTGAGGGTGGTTGGATACAAAGAACGAGAGACTTTTCGTAAACTGAATTGGCAAGGTTCTTGCTCAGACTGCATTCTGTAAGGATAAGAAGGGAAACCTAAGATTAGGCCTAGTCAAGCAGAGGACTCAGAGGAGTATAGCTAAACCTTTGGTTAAATGAGAGAAATTATGTCAACATCAAGGTCTGGCTTCCCACAGAGTAAATAGTGGCAAGTCTTACAGGAAAACCCACCGTCCAAAAGGGCACCTACGATTAGAGAATAGCAGTGGCTAAAGGAGATTCTTACATCAACATTCGGACAGTTTCAAAAAGTCGTGAACTCCCAAAGCTGTGAGGGAAAATAAACAACATTCCTGAGCACCCAATACCACCAAAGTTGTCAAGGGAACCAAGGTACTGAAAGAAGACTTCAGGTTGGGAAAAAGAGAATGCAGATTGTCTGGTTCTGGCAATTAACACCCAGGGTGGGGCCGTTAACTGGGTCAGTGAAGACAATGAGATCGTTGTAGACCCCCCAGAAATGAGTTTCATTTTGGTACAAACCAGAGGAGCCAGAAGATGGCATAAAGACTAAATGCCCTTCTTCTAATGCCAGGATGACATAAACCCTACTTTCCACTCCAGGTTTTAGATGAACTCAGAAGCTAAGAATCAAAACCACAATTATGTATATGTGTGTATGTTAGGGAGGTAGAATTCTGAGAGATTCACTTTTAAAAGAGAAGTAATTTAATTACTAGAAATTAGTACAATTAAACATGACTAAAATCCATGAAGTTGGGATCTTAAGAATAGTATTTCCAGTTGTAGATTATTACTCATATTTTAAGTATCTGATATGTGAACTATTTTGACCACATGGCTGGTATTTCCTATGAAAGGGGTTGACATGGAGGTTACAATAAATGAGAATTTGCCCAGGGTCCTATTTTTAATCCTACTGATAAGGGGTCACAGGTAAGAAAAACGATCTTAGTCTGTTGTGTGTGTGTGTGTGTGTGTTTTCTGCTATAACACAATACCTCAGACTGAGCAATTTATAATAAACAGAAATTTATTTTTCACAATTCTGGAGGCTGGGATGTCCAAGATGGAGGGGCTGGCATTTGCAAAGGGCTTCTTGCTACATTTTTCCATGGCAAAAAGTAGAAGGGCAAAAAGTAGAAGGGCAAAAAGAGGGCAAGAGAAAGCAAGAGGGCGAAGAATTCTTCCTTTTAGAAAGGCACCAATCCCACCCATGAAGGTGAAGTCCCCATGGTCTAATTATATCTTAAAGTTTCCATGTCTTAATGCTGTTATAATGACAATTAAATTTCAACATGAGTTTTGAAGGGGACAAATATTCTAACCCTAGAAATACCGTATTTATATCAGATAGTATGCTGAATACTTTCATACTGATCTTCTATAATCTTCAGCTAACTTTTTGTTATTGGTCAGATAAGAAAACTCATTGATGTTTAATTATTTGAGATAATATAGTCAAAATTGGTGTGAGAACCTGTATTGGTCTGAGACTTTAGTTCCCCATAGTTCATTCTCACTGGGACATGTTCCATATTGCACAAACTAAATTATTTACATCAAATGGCTACAGTGGGAGGGAGGTGAGTTCTTATTTCATTGAGTTTCCTTCTCTGTAGTAGTTACGGTTTTCAATTTTGGTCACTGTGATTACGTATGTTTCCTCATGCTTTTTTTGCTTGTTCTTAAACTTATTCTCTTGCCTATAAATTAGTCTTCAAGAAAAATGGTAAGTTGTGGTAAGCCTCTGCGTATGAAAATCCCACCATTATTATTATCCGAATGTGTTGAAAAGTTTCTCCTTGACAGAAGTTAAAAATGTATGCTTGCCTATATCATTTTTCAGAAGCAGTCTGGTTCTTATGTATATTATAATACCCAAATTTAAAGAACACATTATTTGTCTGTGAAACAGAATGTATTTCTGTCAGTAAAAATTGAGCAGGTAATCCATGTTGGCTGCTGTGATCTTGCTTTCTACTGATGTCAGAATTTAGTTAATTCAGGAAAGTAACCAAACATTTGTAATGACTGTATCAAAATCACAGGTGATTTTGAGTTAGAAAACATGAATGTATTCAATATGATAGTCATGTGATTAGGTCAAACAAAATACAACTATTAGTATTAATGACAAAAATGGCTGAAAAGTCACATTCCCTCAACTGTGTTTCACGTCAGCTCTTATCTTCTGATGGTAGACAGTTATGTGTCGATAGCATATTTAGAGTGTTATATTAAAATTTTATCTGTGCTGCAGTAAAGTTCAAAATATTGTAAGATAGTATAACTTTTTCTTGGGAGAAAAATACAAAGATATAAGTGAGTAAATGTTTTTATTACTAGTAAAATAATTTTAGAGTTTGATCTTTTGAAAACTAAAGCCAGGATAGATTTTCTTATACTATACTTATTATTTTTGGTAAGATAAATGTAATTTTATATTAAGGAGAAATCTTTATATATTTTTGACATTCATGCTTTAATTTTGAACAGCTTGTTTGGTAAAGAACTCTTATTTTTATATAAAGAAAAATTCCTAAATGGCTTATGTGATTATCTGTTTCTATGCAGAAATATTAAACATTTGGTGGTAATTATGCAAAATAACCTGAATGAAAGTATTCAGAAAGGCTAAGTCTAGCTTGCTGTGTTCATCACAGAAGAAATATTGGTTGAATGCTCTTTTTGGTACATAATCTTTCAGTCTCATTATTTCTTTTGTTGAAGTTCTGCCTTTAATGAATAAATATGTAGAATATCCTTTTCACATTTATGTAGCCTTAGAACCTGTCTATTAAGATATTTCTCAAATTTTCAAACTGCTGCAAAGTTATTTTTTACAACTTGCATTTTGCTACTTTTGGTAAATATTAAAATCTGACATTACCTTTCAGTATTAATGCTTGAGTTAGTATGTTCTAAACCAGGAGAAAAATAATTCAATAGACATACTATATTTCTAGAAATTGTGCAAGCTCAAAACCCTCTATTCCCTGACTTAAAAACATTGTCCAATCTTTATTTGTAGGGCTGGAGTTCTTCCATGACTCATTGCAGGGTGAGTCGCCACAGCAGGTGTGGTTCAAGGGAGCAGAATGAGTCAGATGTGGGAAAACAAGATCAGTACAAGGGAGTAATGTCTAACACCAGTTGTGAAAGGTGAGTATAAGGCCATCAACAGTACATTAACTGTGTGAGAAGGAATCAAGTTGATCATATTAGAGAGCACAAAAGAGTAAGGAAACACTAAGTCTTGGCCATGAACATGGTAAGGAAGTCAAGATCATTTTCAGTGGGTTCTAATTTTGAGATCCATGTCAATGAGATCACAGGCAGGTTTGGGATAGAAATCTTCAAAATGCTATATAAAGCCTCAAATTCTACAATGATAAGTGACTATTCTTTTACAATGTTTATTTTGCTATTTTGGCTTTGTGTATCATGCTTGTATATATTTTCCCTAATTAAGTTTTGGAATTGCATTTTTTTCCTTTGCAAAAAATCTCTGAATGACAGGGGTAGGCTATACAGTAGGAACTGAGATTAGCTACTATGTGTCACAGAGGTAAGCTACTGTCAGTGAGTCATTACTTTGTGCACAACTATTTGAAGCTATCTCAATTAGAAAATTGGCTCATGGTCACTAATAAGTTTATTTTGTTTGCCAAGAAAATGTAAAATTTTCTAAGATCACCACATGTAAATTATCTTGGTCATTTGTGAAGTGAATAATTCTGAGATTCCCAAGAATTGACTCTAATGTGTGAAATGACAGGTTACTGCAGAAGTTGATTCATTGGCAATTAGAGAGTATTCCTGAACTGCTGAGTCCAATTCAGATTATGTAAAATAAATAATCAAACCAAACTAACGTAATTTTGACTCCATTTATTCTTTATTCAGTAAGCATGTGCTATTTTTCATGACCATGGTATTTTATAATATTTTGGGTTATTCATAGCATGCTTAATACCTGAATATTTCATGGGAGCACAGCTAGAAAATTTAATGTTAGAAACTTAAGCTAGATTTTTAAATTGAAAATATATCTCCAATTTATATGAGTAACGAATGCTTTAAAAATGATTTAGTTACCCTCTTAATAATTTTTCAATTATTATATATTCAAATTCCCATAAGATATAATTTATGGTTCTTCCTGGACTGTTCATCTTTTTAATTGAACTTGTAAATAGAAGTTCATTTCTTCAGCTAATAGCAAACAATGGGATATAAATAATGGCACACAGCAATCCCCGAAAGATACTATTTCTTAACTTATTAATATATAGTGAGATTTTTCCAGTGCCCAAGCTACTACTTGTTTCATGTTGGTACTTTCAGAGCTCAGATGCAATGTGGTGAAATTTATTCTTTAGTATATCCATTTATTTTGTTATGCAATATGTATTGAGCAGTAATAGGCATTGACACAATTGTTAGATATTAGAACTTTAAAACAAATAGAAGGTTCCAAAGAGTATATAGCACAGTGAAGTGAGTTATCACTGTGTTACAAGCTAACAGGTATTACATTATACTAACAGCTAACATTTATTGAGCATTAAGCAGTTATGTGTATTAACTCATTTATTCCTTGTAATAACCCAAAAAGGTGGACCTTTTTATTATGATCCTTATCATACAGATGAGAACAGTCAGTCATAGAGAGAGCAATGAGCTTAAAGGTACACCACTAGTAAATACCAGAGCCAGTATGTGAGCCCAGGAAGTCTAGCTCCAATGTCCATGCTTTAATCCAATACATAAGGAAGAAAATGCACAGGATGCAGTTAGAGCACAGAGAAAATCCATGTCAGATGGCTGTTCTGGTGAAGGGATAAGAAGAAAAGCTCTGGGGCTGATGGAAACCACCTGCATAATAGCATGAGGAATACAGTCTGTGTGTTTGAGGGCAGTACGAAGTTCTGTGGGGTTGATTAGAAGTGTTCATGTGGGAAATAGAACTGGGATCTTAGGGGAAGCATCAGAACATGGTGGACTTTAGAATCTAAGAAATTTGAACTTTATTCTGCAAGTTGTGGGGAACTATTGAAATATTTTAAGGGCTTTAAGAAAGGCAGCAATATGATGATAATTGCCTTTTGGAAAGGTCATCCTGGCGGATGTATTGAAGTGCTGGTTAGGAGACAGTTGATGGAAACCAGGCCAGAATTGATGAGAATGCAAACAAAAATAGTGATATGGTAGAGAAAAGGAGACAAAGGTATAGGTTGAATACTTTTCATATCTAAAATGGCTATCAGTTAATATGCACTTTCTATGTGCATTTTACTTGGCACTGTATATACGTACTCTCACGTAATCCCAAATACTTCTATGAGAGTTATTTCATTATTGATGTTTTATAATGAGGTAAATGAAGACTTAGAGTGGTTAAGTAGCCTACCAAAGGTTATATAGTTAGTCAGTGATAGGTTCAGGAGTTCAGATCTATGGATTGTACTCTTTCTAGTCTGTGTGATATTGTTAGCCATGAGATTGTTTAAGGATACCTGGTAGAAAAATGCTAAATCAGAAATATGAATCAATCTAGATTAACATTCATGTTTCTGTTATCCATGTGAATTATGATGTCATTCACCAAAATATGGAGAAGATAAATTCTTTATTTCTTAAAAAAATAAACGGGATGTGTATGCAGAACATGCAGGTCTGTTACATGGATATACGTGTGCCATGGTGATTTGCTGCCCCTATTGACACATCCTCTAAGTTCCCTCCCCTTACCCCCGACCAGGCCCTGGTGTGTGTTGTTCCCGTGTCCATGTGTTCTCATTGTTCAACTCCCACTTATGAGTGAAAACATGCAGTGTTTGGTTTTCTGTTCCTGTGTTAGTTTGCTGAGAATGATGGCTTCCAGCTTCATCCATGTCCTTGCAAAGGACATGATCTCATTCCTTTGTATGGATCCATAGTATTTCATGAGATATATGTACCATATTTTCTTAACCCAGTCTATAATTGATGGATGTTTGGGTTGGTTCCATGTCTTTGCTGTTGTAAATAGTGTTGCGGTAAACATATATGTGTGTGTGTCTTTGTAGTAGAATGATCTATATTCCTTTGGGTATATACCGAGTAATGGGGTTGTTGGGTCAAATGGTATTTCTGGTTCTACATCCGTGAGGAATCACCATACTGTCTTCCACAATAGTTGAACTAATTTACATTCCCACCCACAGTGTAAAAGCATTCCTATTTCTCCACAGCCTCGCCAGCATCTATTGTTTCCTTTTTAATAATCGCCATTCTGTGGTTTTGATTTGCATTTCTCTAATAATTAGTGATGAGCTTCTTTTTGCATGTTCGTTGGCTGTGTAAATATTCTTTTGAGAAGTTTCTCTTCATATACTTTGCCCACTTTTTGATGGGGTTGTTGTAAATTTGTTTACTTTGTAGGTTGGATGTTCACTCTGATGATAGTTTTTTTGCGGTGCAGAAGCTCTTTAGTTTAGTTAGATCCCATTTGTCAGTTTTGGCTTTTGGAGTTTTTGTCATGAAGTTCTTGTCCATGCCTATGTCCTGAATGATATTGCCTGAGTTTTCTTCTAGGGTTTTAAAGGTAAATTCTAAAAAAATTTTCTCAAAAGAGACATTTATAACTGCTGTATTCATTTCTTATACTTCATTTTTCAAACTCTGATCTGGTATCAGGCTCCTCAACTCCATCATAAAAACTCTTCATGGGATTAGCAATTACCTTCTGTCTCTAAATTCAAAGATTGTTTTTAATACTTTTCTTAGTCTGCTTCTCAGTAGCACTCAGCACTATTTTCTACTTTCTTGAATCAAAACATTCTTATATTTGAATTTTTTGCAACAATACTATTTGATTTTCTCCCAACCTCTTTGTATATTGTTCAGGTCTATCAGTCTGAAGCACTAAATAGTGAAGTTACTTAAACTTAGTTATATAACCTCTCCTTTCCTAATCTGATATTTTCTTTCACTTTCATGACTTCATTTATTACCTGTAGAAAGGTAACAGACACAATTAATCAAGCCTCTTCTGTGATATTTATTCCTGGCAATCTCAATGGCATTCCAAATACAGGAGATTCAAAAAAATAAATTCATGACATTCTCCCTCAATTCTAGTCCTTTTTTACTCTCTGTGAATGACACTGCATTCTATTTATATAAGAAAGGAACTTAGCAGTCATCATGGATACAGTATTCTTCCCTACCTACTGAATCTAAACCACTACCAATTCTTGTCAATTGTATTTGCTAAGTATTTCTTAAGTCAGATTGTTGGCCAACACAGCATTCCCTGCTATGTTCATTGTTAGCATGGGATTCTCCATAGACTGTAAACAAGTTTCCCCAATCTTGCCTAAAACTTTCCTTTAACTCATTCTCCATACTGTATTGGAGATTTATTTGACAAAAGTACATTTAGGATCTTTTTCCTCTTCTACTTAATGCCATTTAACATGATGCAAATTGCCAATAGGTTCCAGAATTCTTATCATGGCCTTTAGTGCCCTGCATCATATAATCTCTACCTTCTGCTTGTACCATTGTTCTACTCTTATACAGTCCTAATGCTCTTCTTCCTATCTTTTGTACATATTGCTCCTTTTCCTTGGAAGACTTTTTATTTTCTACTCATTGTACAGTTTTCAGTTTTCTTATCACTTCCTCTAGTAATGTTTCTCTGACCTCCTTATGCCAAATCACTCTGTTCAAGAGCCTTATAACACTTTCTCCATTAGTTTTCTACTTTCGTAATTTTATATTTTTGTAACCGTCAATTGACCAATACCTGTACCCTTTCTTATGTATCTCCCCATTCTTACCTATGATGGAAACTGGATCCTGGTCTGGTCACTGTTGTTTCCTGAGAATCTTGTATTGCTCAACACTTGATAAGTATTCAATTAACTTAATCTTTATGATAATCTGATATAATCCTTGTAACAAGTGTTCATTGTACAAATGAAGACAATGTTACTCTAGCGTGTAAGTCATAACCTCTCTAAACTTCTGTGAATACTCAATTTTAGTTTTATAGTGAAGCAAGTCCCTTTATGTTCAAACTCCCCAGTAATTTGCAGAAATTTCAATGACTAAGAGCTGGGCTGTTCAATATAGAAGTCTCTAATAACATGTAAGTGTTAAATATAAATTAA